CACAGATAGATATATTAGACGAGGAGGTGGAGTAGCCATATATGTTAGGGACAATTTGAAATGTAGTCTCAAAGAGGGAATCAAAACAGAGCCACACACAGAAACTATTTGGATTGAATTAAACGAAAAAGCTAATAATATTATAATAGGAGTAATATATAGGCCACCAAATTTAGACAGAATGGAAGCAAAGCATCTATGGGATGAAATATCTAGAGCATCTAGATCTAACAGTATTTATGTCATGGGTGACTTTAATTTTAGCGGAATAAACTGGTTGAACAAAACAGGGAATAGTGAAGCAGAAGATTTTCTAGAATTAATTGACGATTGCTTTCTTACGCAACACATTAAGGAACCAACACGGGAAAATAATATTTTAGATTTAGTGTTAACTAACAGGGAAACGCAAATTAATGACATCGAAATAGGGAGTGAGCTAGGGAGCAGTGATCACAAAGAAATCAGATTTAGCATAGAATGGAATAGACCAGTAGGAGAAAATTCTGTTAAAGTGCCAGATTTTCGAAAAGCTGATTTTAATAGCCTAGGAAATTTTTTGGGTCAAATTGATTGGAAAGTCTTGGGTATGGGGTGTGGGCCGGTCTTGGAGCGAGACATGAACCCAGCGATAGGTGACTTAAATGGGGATTTCGATGTGGATTCAATATATAACTTATTTAAGAATATTCTAAACAAAGCACAGGAACGTAGTATACCATACAAATTGAATAGATCGAATACTAATGACCCAAAGTGGATAACAAAGAATTTGAAGAACCTTATAGGTAAAAAGAGAGCTTGGTACAAAAGGATTAAAAATGGGGAGGTCACTTTAGAACAGGAATTCGTACAACTGGTTAGAAATGTTAAAAAAGAGATAAGGAAAGCAAAAAGAAACTATGAAGTTCGCATAGCAGGGCAAGCAAAGACAAATCCTAAAGGGTTTTTTCAGTTATATCGTACTAAGACTAGGGAAAGGATAGGTCCATTAAAAACTGAGACAGGTCAAATAACAGATAGTGATGAAGAGATGAGTAGTATTTTTAATAAATATTTTGTATCTGTATTTACTAAAGAGGAACTTAACAATATGCCTTCAGCCGAATAAGTCTATGTGGGTGGAGACGAGGACAGGTTGACGAGTTTAGCAGTTACCAGGGAGGATGTTCTTAAACAAATAGTAAAACTCAAACCAAACAAATCCCCAGGGCCGGATGAAGTGTTTGCCAGGGTGCTTAAAGAATGCAAAGAGGAGCTTTGTGACCCACTGTCAACCATATTTAATAAATCAATAGAGTCAGGCAGAGTGCCAGAGTTTTGGAAAGTTGCTAATGTGATACCAGTTTTTAAGAAAGGAGATAGATCACTTGCGTCTAACTATCGACCAATTAGCCTAACGTCTATTGTGGGAAAGTTACTCGAATCTATAATAGCAAATAAAATTCGTCTTCATCTTGAAAAACATAAATTAATAATTGAGTCGCAACATGGTTTTATAAATGGCCGTTCATGTTTAACAAATTTGTTATCTTTTTATTCTAGCATTGTTGAGGCAGTTGATAGTGGTAAGGATTGCGATGTTGTATACCTTGACTTTAGCAAAGCTTTTGATACAGTGCCACATGAAAGACTGATTAAAAAGATAGAGTCTCATGGTATTGGGGGTGCTATATTAAGCTGGATTAGGGCATGGCTATACCAAAGGAAACAGAGAGTTAGTATAAATGGAATCAAGTCAGAGTGGGAAAATGTTGTAAGTGGAGTGCCTCAAGGCTCTGTCCTGGGACCTCTGTTGTTTATAATATATATAAATGATTTAGATTCAGGTTTGAGTAGCAACATTTGCAAATTTGCCGATGATACGAAAATCGGTAGGGAAATTAATTCGGAGGAGGACTCACTATCACTTCAAGTTGATCTAGATAGGGTTTTGAAATGGTCAAAGGATTGGCAGATGCAGTTTAATGCTGATAAATGTAAAGTTCTGAGGTTAGGTAATGATGATAGAGTTACAAGATACGAGCTAGATGGTGTTGTGATTGCGAAGTCGGATTGCGAAAGGGATCTGGGAGTTATGATTAGTAAGAATTTAAAACAAAAGGATCAATGCATAAATGTTCGTAATAAGGCAAATCGGACACTTGGATTTATTAATCGCAGCGTTAGTAACAAGACACCTGGTGTGGTTCTCAAGCTATATCTTGCTCTAGTTAGGCCCCATTTAGATTATGCCGTTCAGTTTTGGTCGCCATATTATAGAATGGATATAAATTCACTTGAACGTGTCCAGCGTAGGATGACTAAGTTAATTCCCCAAATTAGAAATCTTTCATATGAAGAAAGATTAACAAAGCTTAAGTTGCATTCACTGGAAAGGCGAAGAGTTAGGGGTGACATGATAGAGGTTTACAAGTGGATGAATGGACATAACCGGGGGGATATTAATAGGGTATTAAAAGTATCAACACAGGACAGAACACGAAACAATGGGTATAAATTGGATAAGTTTAGATTTAGGAAAGACTTGGGTAAATACTGGTTCAGTAACAGGGTTGTTGATTTGTGGAACCAATTGCCGCGTAACATTGTGGAGGTGGGGTCCCTCGATTGTTTCAAGCACGGGTTGGACAAGTATATGAGTGGGATTGGGTGGTTATAGAATAGGAGCTGCCTCGTATGGGCCAATAGGCCTTCTGCAGTTACCTTTGTTCTTATGTTCTTATGTTCTTAACTTAACAATATGCCTTCAGCCGAACAAGTCTATGTGGGTGGGGACGAGGACAGGTTGACGAGTTTAGTAGTTACCAGGGAGGATGTTCTTAAACAAATAGTAAAACTCAAACCAAACAAATCCCCAGGGCCGGATGAAGTGTTTGCCAGGGTGCTTAAAGAATGCAAAGAGGAGCTTTGTGACCCACTGTCAACCATATTTAATAAATTAATAGAGTCAGGCAGAGTGCCAGAGTTTTGGAAAGTTGCTAATGTGATACCAGTTTTTAAGAAAGGAGATAGATCACTTGCGTCTAACTATCGACCAATTAGCCTAACGTCTATTGTGAGAAAGTTACTCGAATCTATAATAGCAAATAAAATTCGTCTTCATTTTGAAAAACATAAATTAATAATTGAGTCGCAACATGGTTTTATAAATGGCCGTTCATGTTTAACAAATTTGTTATCTTTTATTCTAGCATAGTTGAGGCAGTTGATAGTGGTAAGGATTGTGATGTTGTGTACCATGACTTTAGCAAAGCTTTTGATACAGTGCCACATGAAAGACTGATTAAAAAGATAGTCTCATGGTATTGGGGGTGCTATATTAAGCTGGATTAGGGCATGGCTATACCAAAGGAAACAGAGAGTTAGTATAAATGGAATCAAGTCAGAGTGGGAAAATGTTGTTAGTGGAGTACCTCAGGGCTCTGTCCTGGGACCTCTGTTGTTTATAATATATATAAATGATTTAGATTCAGGTTTGAGTAGTAACATTTGCAAATTTGCCGATGATACGAAAATCGGCAGGGAAATTAATTCGGAGGAGGACTCACTATCACTTCAAATTGATCTAGATAGGGTTTTGAAATGGTCAAAGGATTGGCAAATGCAGTTTAATGCTGATAAATGTAAAGTTCTGAGGCTAGGTAATGATGATAGAGTTACAAGATACGAGCTAGATGGTGTTGAGATTGCGAAGTCGGATTGCGAAAGGGATCTGGGAGTTATGATTAGTAAGAATTTAAAACAAAAGGATCAATGCATGGATGTTCGTAATAAGGCGAATAGGACACTGGGATTTATTAATAGAAGCGTTAGTAACAAGACACTTGGTGTGGTTCTTAAGCTATATCTTGCTCTAGTTAGGCCCCATTTAGATTATGCAGTTCAGTTTTGGTCGCCGTATTATAGAATGGATATAAATTCACTTGAACGTGTCCAACGTAGGATGACTAAGTTAATTCCCCAAATTAGAAATCTTTCATATGAAGAAAGATTAACAAAGCCGTGTCTTTACAGTCTCCGTGGTGTAGTGGTAAGACACTCGCCTGGCGTTCCGCGAGCGCTATGTCATGGGTTCGTATCCTGGCCGGGGAGGATTTACTGGGCGCAATTCCTTAACTGTAGCCTCTGTTTAACGCAACAGTAAAATGTGTACTTGGATGAAAAAACGATTCTTCGCGGCAGGGGATCGTATTCCAGGGACCTGCCCGAAACGCTACGCGTACTAGTGGCTGTACAAGAATGTAACAACTCTTGTATATATCTCAAAAAAAAAAGAAAAAAAAAGCTTAAGTTGCATTCACTGGAAAGGCGAAGAGTTAGGGGCGACATGATAGAGGTTTACAAGTGGATGAATGGACATAACAGGGGGGATATTAATAGGGTATTAAAAATATCAACACAAGACAGAACACGAAACAATGGGTATAAATTGGATAAGTTTAGATTTAGGAAACACTTGGGTAAATACTGGTTCAGTAACAGGGTTGTTGATTTGTGGAACCAATTGCCACTTAACGTGGTGGATGTGGGGTCCCTCGAGTGTTTCAAGCGCAGGTTGGACATATATATGAGTGGGATTGGGTGGTTATAAATAGGAGCTGCCTCGTATGGGCCAATAGGCCTTCTGCAGTTACCTTTGTTCTTATGTTCTTATTACATTCTTGTAATTACTGTTATAGGAGATATATATATAATAGGAGTAATATAATGTAATAACAATAATATAATAAGAAGAAAAATATAAGAAAATAATATAATAATATAAGAATAATATAAGAAAAGAATAATATAATGTAATAGGAGATATATAATATACATATTTATAATATATATACACATATATGCGAACAAGACTGAATGGTCCCCAGGACTATATGCAACTGAAAACTACAGTTGGTAGGAAACAGAAAAAAATTAAAAAATTATATCCTATAGAAAACTACTATATTTTTATACACACACATATATATTATAGATAAATAATAGGGATGTAGGGGTGAGGAGGAGGTGGGGTGTAGGACGATAAATAGCAGATGTTGCCTCAGTGTTTGTGTTGGTGGCTGGGACGGCGGCCTCTCCCGCAACCATGTCCGGGGCCATCGAAATTCCTCTACGGGACAGCGATGAGGTGAGCAGTATGAGTGTGAGGGTGTTACTCAAGTGTGAGGGCGTCAGTGTATCCTGGGCGGTCATACGCCTGCAAGATATGCAACACTGATGAGGGTCTTGACGCAAGTTGTGGGTCAAGCTGGTCTTGGTGTGTGTGTCTTCACAGACTCCAGATGACCTCGGATATTTGGACGAGTCGTCCCTTATGGCTGGGCAAGCGTTTTGACTCATTTAGGTAACGTTTGGCTTGGTTATGTTAGTTTAGGTTATGATGGCATGGTTTGGACATCGTATGTTCACGTAGGTTGTGTGGGGTCTATGTTTTCCTATTCCACATTCCATAACATGGCATTTATTCACATTAAATTCCACTTGCCAAGTGTTGCTCCATATACTTATTCTGTCCAGGTTTTCTTGAAGGGCATGCTAATTAAAAGTATCTTATTCTTCCTATTATCTTCTTAGCATCATCAGCAAACATGTTCATATAATTTTGTATTCCACTTGTGACATTTCTGCAGTCCGATACCTTGCCTCTGATGGCCCTCATTTTCTTATCAGTTAAGAAATTTTTCATCCATGTTGGAAGCTTACCTGTCACCCCTCCAATATGTTCCAGTTTCCAGAACAACCTCTTATGTGGAAATCTGTCAAAAACCTTTTTTAGGTCCAGATAGATGCAATCAACCCAACCATCTCTTTCTTGTAAAATCTCTGGCTTGGTCATGGAAACAGTAAATTCGATACACAGGATCTTCCAGATCGCCGAAGGGCATGTTTGATATTATATCATTTCTCTCCAGGTGTTCTACCCATTTAGTTTTAATTATTTTTTCCAATATTTTGACTATTACACTTGTCAATGATACCGGTCTATAATTAAGGGGGTCTTCCTTGCTTCCACTTTTGTAGATTTGAACTATGTTAGCCTTTTTCCACACATCAGCTACAGCTCCTGTACACAGGGATGCCTGAAAAATCAGTTGAAGTGGAATGTTGAGCTCAGGTGCACATTCTCTCAGAACCCATGGTGAAACTCCATCTGGACCAACTGCTTTGTTCTTATTTATCTCCTTGAGCATTTTTTCCACTTCGTCTCTAGTCACCTCTGTGTGCTCTATGTTCTCTGGAATCGTTGTTCTCCCTGAAGATTTCATTTTGTACAAACACACTTTGGAACTTTTCATTTAATGTTTCACACATTTCCTTTTCATCTTCCATGAATCTATTTCCCATTTTGAACCTCTGAATATTATCCTTTACCTGCAATTTGTTGTTTATGAATTTATAGAATGGACCTGGTTCTGTTTTACATTTGTCTGCAATCCCTTTTTCAAAATTTCTTTCTGCCTCTCTCCTCACTGCCGTGTAGTTGTTTCTCGCATCTTTGTATCGCTGGTATGTTTGGGGGTTTGTCCTCTTCCTGTATTGATTCCATTTTTGTGTCTTCTGGTCTCTGGCCCTCTCGCAATTTCTGTTGAACCATTCCTGTTTCCTAGTTCTGCATCTCTGTTTTGGTATAAATTTTTTTGTGCCTTTATCATATATTTCACAAAACATGACATACATTTCATTCACTTTCTTGCCTAGCGACAAGTCTGTCCAATTATACTCACTAGAAAATTGTCTAAGGTTGCCATAATGTCCTCTCCTAAAGTCAGGTTTTTCAATTGCATCAACCTTCTTATTTTTTTACAGATTATAATGCATTGCATACTTTAAAAGACATGGTCACTTTTACCCAAGGGAGGAAGGTACTGAATGTCAAATATTTCTTCCTCCTTCCTGGTAAATATCAAATCTAGCATGGACGGAACGTCCCCTTCCCTTATCCTCGTAGCTTGTTTAACATGTTGATACAAGAATGTTTCCAGGATGAGGTCTACAAATTTACAGGTCCAGAAATCTTCAGTTTTAGCTTCACATGCTTCCCAGTCTATGGATTTCAAGTTGAAGTCGCCGACTTTCAACAGTCGTGAACTATCGTTATCCGCTCTCGCTATGGTCTCTCATTATTGTTATAACAATAACCTTCTCGTTTACAATCTAGCTCCTCCTATGACCATGTGCCGCTTGGCGGTGGACTATATGCATTTATAATCATTAGTTTATCAGCCTCATGGCAGATCTCTAGTGCTATTATGTCAACTTCTTGTGGATTGTCACTATTTCGGTCACCTTTAGGTGTTCTTTCACCAGCACAGCAACGCCACCGCCTTTCCTAATTTTTCTGTCCTGTCTCCAAATTGAGTATGTCCCTTGTGCTATATAGTCATTGTGGTTTTGTTTTTCAACCCATACTTACATTCCTGCAACAGGACAGATATGATGATGATGTTTCCTTTCTCCTGAAGTCTTTGTTTACATACTGGGTAGCAGTCAAATTATCTCCTTATAGAATCGAAGAGACTTGATTATTACGGGGTACGTGTAGTCCCTTGTATGTGATTGGACTATGTGATTGGACTTCCCCCCATCCAGTGGGCAGCGGTGGATAAGTTACTAAGAATGATTTTAACCTATCCACCGCTGCCCACTGCATGGGGGGGCGGTGTGCAGGACAAACATATCAATTGTGACACTAGCTCTCCACATATGTCAGTTGCTTGACCAGACCTACTCGCTAGAGAGTGAGTTCTTTCCCATCTGGTGAGTTTTAGGTATGTATCTCGTCAACTTGAAGTACAGTTGAAATACCACTGTACTTCAAGTACAACTTGAAGTACAGTGGTCCCGTTTGGCTCTGTCTCAGATTTGGAAGATTTAGACCTAGTGGTGCATACTTGTATTTTCCTGGCAGTCTTTAGAGTGGCTGTATGTCATACCTGAACTTTGTTTGTGAGGTTTATCCACTGGCCTAAGTTTGTATGAAGGTGCTCTTCCAGTTTCTCCTGAGAGACCCTTTTTGCCAATTAGAATTGCCAGGACTGATGATACCTGCTTGATGGGGTTCTGAGAGTTCTTCTACTCCCCAAGCCCGGCCCAGGCTTGACTTGTGAGAGTTTGGTCCTCCAGGCTGTTGCTTGGAGCGGCCCACATACCCACCACTGCCCGGCTGATCCGGAACTTCTCTTAGAAAACAGTCCAGTTTTCTCTTGAAGATGTCGACGGTTGTTCCGGCAATATTTCTTGAGTGTGGACTATGCCACGGCTTTTTTTTCTGACTTTTTGGTTCTGTGGCATATATATATATATATATCCCAGTCCTGTGTTCGAGGTATTCATGGCCACTTTGGCTCTCAGTTTGCGAGTTGTATCTAGTGGTTGCCTTGCTAATCAGGGCTGTTGGTTACTTTGTCTGCAGTGGTTGCATATTATTGTTTTATAAACGGGCAGTGGTTTGGTTTGTGCTGCTGGGCATTTGCCTTTCAAGGGGCACAGTGATCCAGTGCCACTCCTGCTATCGTGTAGTTCATTGTCTCAGTTGTGGCAGCTCAAATCGGTCTGTTTTCCTGTGGAGTTTGACTTAAGTAGCCCATTTTCTGTATTCTCTATAATTAGTTCACAGTGGATACGCTTTGGATGGACTAGAATGGACTAGGCAGTTCACTAATTTTGTACAGAAAATAAACTCCAAGGGGGAACAGTTGAGCTAAAGAAAATAATTTGTGAATTGGTTAAACATTATACAATTTTCAGAACATCAAATTATAAAACAATATTTAAATTTATCTGTAATGTTCTTTTTTTATTAGCTATGAGAAGCGTCAGAGTTAAAAAGTTGTTTGTACCATTATAGTCACACTAAGCAGATGATGAGTCACAACAATGTGGCTGAAAAATGTTGACCAGACCACAATCGACTTGAGAATGGTCCAGGACGGAGCGAAACGCCGTCGTCCCTTCACACTCTGTGGTCTGGTCAACATGTCACACTAACCTCTATTTTTATTTTCACAATTTGTATGATGGTTGGTTTTGTTTAACCAATATTTTGTTTTTCTGCAGGTCATCGAGTTGGACTTGACTCAACTCCCTGAGGGCGATGAAGTGCTAGGAATTCTCACCAATGAGAAAGTGCCACTCAATTATTGGGTGGAGCTTGCTGTGAGTTTATTTTGTAGTATGAGTTTGACTTCTCAGTTTAAGCTTATTATAATTTACAGTGATATACACTTGACATACAGTACTGTATTTTGCACATATAATACCGCCCATTTGCACAATTTTGTGCAAATTCCCTGTTCAGCTGTATATGAAAAATTTATTAAGTACAGTACTCATTAAGATTGATTTTTACTTGGTTTCATTTCTGTATCAACAGATTGAATATTATAAGCAAAAAAATGAAGATGCCTTTGTACGCATTTTGGAAGCGAGCCGAACTGATGCCAACAGCATATATCGGGATTCAGAAAAAGACCAGGTATGTATGTACTAAGGCTAACACTTTTTTTTTTTTTTTGTAAAATACTTGTATGCATAAGACTAAGCATATGAAAATAGATTGGTTTTTATAAAAATTTTGGTGTATAAATGGTTCTCGAAGTCACTAACACCAATATTTCAGGTAAGCTTTAAAGCTAAGATATTAGGTTTAAGTGCCTGAACTAATAGGCTAAGATATTAGCTTTAAGGAGTGTGCCTCCTCATCATTTTAGCACCCCTGTGCTAAATGAGGGGAAGGCAAACCAAGCCATCTTGGAGGATTTTGACCTCACCAGTGAGGAGGTCAAAAGGAATCAGATGGAGCCGATTGTGACAAGGCTGTTGGTCCTGAAGGAATCTCACCGTGGATACTAAAAGAAGGTGCGGAAGCACTAAGTGTGCCACTCTCTATGGTGTATAACAGGTCACTGGAAACAGGAGACCTACCAGAAAGCTGGAATACAGCTAATGTAGTCCCAATGTACAAAAAGGGTGACAGGCAAGAGGTACTGAACTACAGGCCAGTTTCCATAACTTGTATACCATGCAAGGTGATGGAGAAGAGCGTGAGGTAAAGGCTCATAGAGTATCTGGAGGGAAATGGCTTTGTAACACCACCAACATGGGTTCAGAGATGGTAAATCATGCCTCACAGGGTTAATAGAATTCTATGACTAAGCAACAAAAATTTGGCAAGAAATAAAAGGGTGGGCAGACTGCATTTTCTTAGACTATCCTTTGCCTTTGACACAGTACCCCATAAAAGTATTATGGTTCAGAGAAGAGCCAGGTATGTACTGATGCTAACACCAGGTACTGTATATTGGACATCATATTGATGTACCTTGTGTTAGCATCAGTACATACCTGATGCTAACACCAAGTATATTGGACATTGTATTGAGCCCAAAATATATTTAATGTACTCAACATTCTTCTGATATTGCAGATGCGTTCCTTTGATACTCTGGCAGCTTACTATGTTCAGAAAGCTAACAAAGAAAAGGACAAGACTGCCAAGAAAGATCTGTTCCAAAAAGCTACCTATCTTTATACAACTGCTGATAAAATCATCATGTATGACCAGGTAAGGTATCCATTAGCTCTATTCTATATTGCAAAGAATCAAAGATGAAAATTTACATACTAATATTACACAACTACAGTAATAATAAATGACATTGTTTATTTTGTACTTTTTCTAAGTCATAACTTCATTCATGCAATTATTACAAAAAATACCTCTGTTGCAAAATACAGTAGAACCTCGAGTGACGACTGCCTCAAATGGCGACCATTTTGGGTAACGAACGCCCTGGTCGCCGACAATTCATCTTGTTAGGCGACCGCTCCTTAGAATAACGTCAACACCACATGGTGGGGTCTGGAGTTTCTTCTCCCACATTCTCTGACGCCTCCGACAAGGCAAATAAATTATTTTTCTTTGTTTACAGATATTATTAATACTGTTGCAAAGCCTTTTTGTAGAAAAACGAAATGAACTTTCTTAAAGAAAGAACAAATGTCAAAAGGGTTCGTTCGGTGTTCAGCAGGTAGGTTGCTCCATGTTTCTTAAAAAAAAAAAAAAACAGTTGAAATAATGGAGCAGCCTAACCGACAAACACTGAACGAACCTTTCTGGCATTTGTCCGTTTTTCAAATTGTTTCAACTGTTTTTTTATTTTCCGTTTTTTTTATTTAAGAAACATGGTGCAGCTTACCTGCCGAACAACGAATGAACCTTTTTGACATTTGTTCTGTTTTTCAAAATTCTTCATTTTTTCTTTTTTTTTTTTATAAGAAACATGGAGCAGCCTACCTGACAAATACTAAACAATCCTTTTGCTATACAAAAAATAAAAAAAAAGTAACAAATTTGAAGAAAGAAAAATGTCATAAAGTTTTGATCAGTGTATGTAAGGTAGGCTGCTCCATTATTTAAAACATCGAATATCATATTGGTGTTTTTTGGTGGTAGAAAGGATTAATTTGATTTCCATTATTGTCAATGGGGACATTTGTTTGGTATGACGTTCATTTCACATGACAATCATGGAGGCGGAATGGATTAAATTCGTTATTCGAGGTTCCACTGTATCAGTACAGTATGTAGTAATACATTGAGCAAGGTTCTAATGTAGATTTAATAATTCATTTAATTTGTAAAATATAATACATTAAGCTGTGATGAAAGAAGTAGCTGATTGCTAAGGGACAATTTTTTATATCTTGTATTTATATCAGTAGCTCAGGTGTTTACGGTGCAGATGTTGGCTGGCTTTTATATGGTAGATATGGCATATGGTTATAAATTGACAACATTTTATTTGGGTTCCAACATACAGACTAACCATTCTATTTCTCTGAACTTCAATAATCTTTCTTAACACTATCGCTCACTTTGGGCACCGATCACGTCCACTTTTTTCTCTTGAGTCCTAGCTGTGGACAGTGCTCGCGTCCATTACAAAAATATTTGTATAAAATTCATTTTTTATCCGCTCGACTTCGGGATAGTTTAAAAAAATAAGCACCTTTAGAGTGCGCACAATTTGATACCAAAATGAAAGATGTAACACGAAACTTGATGTCCAAACACTTGAAAGATTATAAATACGTTTTTGGTCAAAATTTTAAAATATTTGTTAAAATTCTATTTATTGTGCTATTATTTTGAGACTAGTTTTAAAATGTGTGCCTTTATATTGCGAACAATTTGATACCAAAATGAAAGATGTAACACAAACATTTATGTCAGAACATTGGAAAGATATAAATAATTTTGTGATGATGAGCTTCCAATATTAAAATATTTGTTAAAATTCCAGTTATTGCTCTATTATTATGGGACTAGTTTTAAAATATGCGCCTTTATATTGCGAACAATTTGATACCAAAATGAAAGACGTAACACGAAAATTGATGTTATCAAACTGAATGAGTATACACATCAGGTTGCGGTGTGGCAATTGGTACTCGTTTATGGGTAACTTTAGGCTTTCCTGCGGGGAGGCACGCCGGGCTTTTGTATATTGTATGCATATACACCTGTACAGAATTTAATTGCAAACACAATGATCCAAAAACGAACGACGTAGCACAAGAATTATGGTGAGAAAACTGAAACGAGTATACACATTTTACTGATTTTGTGCGCTCACCGGTAACTTTTGCCGACTTTAGGCTTTGCTGTTGGGAGTCATGCCAGGCTTTTGGATATTTGTTTGGGGTCATTAGTCACAGGAGTCCTTATGCCTTCCTGGGACCGTGAGCCAAAACCTGGCCCCCCCCTCAAAGAGGTGCAGGGAGCAAGGGCCTATGAGCACTTTACATTTAAAGTATGTCATAATTGCCATTGACTGGGGAGGGACCCGGAAAAGTGGGCGAATCAAAACAGATCACTATCTGGTTACACTATGCAATCTACAACCTAAAAGATAAAAATATCTTCCCTAGAAAGAAGACAAGCAACACTTAATGCAATTAGCCCTCCTGCTCAATAGCTCTACCCCTTCCAGTAGCGTTAATATCCTAGCGCTGAGCCGGCAGCCCACCACTCCAGTTCTTGAATGGATCGACACCTCACGGCTCCAATTCCTGTTCTGTATTTTCATCCTGTGTGTGTATGGTGTGGTGGCCAGGTGTTTTAGTGTACAGGAGCTGCATGCGCCTAGGGTCTCCTTCCCTAGGTGCGCCTTAAGAATTATCCTTGTGGTTTAGGTTATCTTCCCTGGGGAGTTAGATTACCAGCAAAGCTCTCAGTGCCAACTCTGTTCAGCAGTCATGCACAGTAAATGTGCCGTTTACTTTCTTGAATAATATTATTTTCTTGAAGATGATTACAATTCTGGATAATATTACTTTCTTGAAGATGATTACAATTCTGGATAATATTACTTTCTTGAAGATGATTACAATTCTGGATAAAATTCTTGCGAAGAACAGAGAAACACTTTTAAATGCCTGCATAGAAATTTCCAATGTTTTCAAAGAAATTGTCCATGAAACTCAGGTAGAATCAGACTCGGCGCCAAAGCCGAGCGCAGTCTTGGTGCCAGGGTTGGGTGCGGTCTCGGCCAAAGAGAAACAATCAAAACAAGGACCCAAAATCTGTCAATATTATAAATGGGGTATCTGTAAACATGGGATATTGGGAAGAGCAAATGGAATATGTAAATACAATCACCCTAGAAAGTGCAGAAACCTCCTTAGTACAAGTAAATGAATCAAAAGCTGTGAATTTTATTCCACCCAGAACTTTGCACGAACTCTAGCCACTGTGATGCGCCGAGTTTCTGGCTAGACTGCCAGGCTAGGCAGTCTAGCCTGGCAGTCCTTTCTGCAGGCTAGCTAGACCGAATAACTCTGCGGATGACCTGAGAAACCTGAACTCTAGAACAGGCAAGAAGAGAAATCAAATCAACCCAAAGCGCGTCCCCGGTCACTGAGGCTGTGGCGTGCAAATAACGGCAGAGAGCCGCAACCGGACACAATACATGATGCACTCCCGGGCTGACCAGCCAAGCATCAACAACCCAAGGACCCCTCCGGAAAGCAACAGTCTCATTGCCAGAAAAGGAGGAGACACCTGCAAACAAATTACCAAGATCAAAAGAGCAGAAACCCCTGCGCCAGAGGAGAGCATGATGCGCTCCAACCCGACCCCCAGAGGCCAATACCAACAAGAAAGCCTTCAAAACAATAATCCTGAACCGAAGGATTCAGGACAAGAACCGAAACAAATTTTCCCATAAGAAATAATTTAAATTGAATTAATCCATTCCACACCTTCAAAAATATTAACTAGAAATATATATTTTATACAGAAAACTACTCATAGGTACCTTACCTTTATGGAGGGCTCTTGTATGGAAGGCGATGAGGAGGGAGGGAGGAGGAGGGTGTTAGTGTTAGAAGGGGGAGACCCCTTCCATTATAACATCAGGCAATGATGACTTCTCTGGGGGTACTCTCTCATGTTTTGCCTTACTACCACTAGGACCTGGTTGTGACTCACTGCTTGTTTTTCTCACTAAAAACCTGTCTAGCGACACTTGTTTTTCCGACATTGTAACACTTGTCTGAAGTGAGACATCACATTATCATTAAAAAGGTTAACAGCCTGCTACAGCTTTATTTGGGTGAGCCTTTTCAACAAAACTTTGCATTTCTTCTTATATTGTATTGTACACCATTTCTTAATTATTGAAGAAGTGAAATCCTCTGCTGCCTCTTGTTACTGCTCTATGGTCATCCTCACAGTTGTTCTCTTAGGTTGAGCTTTACCACTGATCTTCTTGGGACCTGTAATATATAATAATTTTATGTTCAGAAACTAATAATAGGCCCCAAAACAGTGAAATTCTTCACAAAGAATTCAAGTGCAGTCGTCAACTCGGCAAGGCGCTGGTAAACGGAGGTGCGCCGCTATGCCACGTGCTTGGTGGACCTGGACGTGTAGTAACGAATTCCAAACACCGAGGCAAACAATGAGTACCAAATCAAATTTTTTGGAGAAATTGACTACGAGTACCGAAAACTATGAGAACCAAGGTTCCACTGTATTCTCTTGAGTGCTAGCGGGAGAGATGCTTAATAATTTTCACATGGAAAATATTAGAGGGGCTGGTCCCAAATCTGCACCTAGAAATATGAAGACCAGAGTGTCAGGTTCTGGCTTGTTGTCCCCGCTAGGCTAGAACTCCAATAAAAATTGACTGATGCCATGGCCTAATACATACATATCAACCCGGTGTTGCTCCGGAGAACCTCTGGGACACACCCAGAAAATGGTATTTCATTACATACAACTGTTTTTTTTTTTTAATTCTTTAATTTTTTCCTTTAATAGCATACATAAAAGAGGTACTATTACTAATGAAATTTACCACTCGCACAGAACCATCTACTGGGCCGAGCTTATTTCTGTTTGTTGGAGGGAGATAAGATGGAGCAAGCTGATGCACAATTTAACTTTGTGCTCAATCAGTCGGCTAATAACATTCCATCTTTACTTGGAAAAGCCTGCATTGCATTTAACAAAAAGGTAAGTTGTATTATATTGAGCAATCATCTATGTGTAATGTCTAATAACAGTACCAGTATGTATCTTCCTTTTGCTTCATAAAAGTAAGTTTTCAGAATGCAGTGAATAAATCTAGATTGTTTTAATGGAAAGAAATATATATGAAAGAAATGTCTCCTCCTCTCACCTCACTAACATCTCTTCCTCTCACCTCACTTGAGATATATAGATCACTAGGAAGATATACTATAGATAGATCAAGAGGGGAATATAGATTGATCAAGATGGAGGTATTGATTAATCAAGAGGGAGATGTATAGTTAGATCAAGCTAGAGAAAGAGGGAGAAAGATACAGACAGATTAGGAGTAGAAGAGAAATGTACAGATCAAAGTGGGTGATGAAGAAAGCACAAATGTGAGAAAGTAACCAAGAGGGAGATTGAGAGAGAGAGTGATTGAGGGAGATCGAGAGAGCACTATCAAGGGAGATCAATCCTGAGAGAGAGAGATAGTGATAGTGCATGAGAGATTGGGAAAGTGCATATCAAGAGAGGATTGAGAGTGAGGGGTCAAGAGAGATCGAGAGAGCTTGATAGAGAGAGAGATCGGATAAGCACTGGTCAAGAGAGAGATCAAGAGAACAAGATAAGAGAGATTGAGATATCTGGAGAGTGTAATCAAGAGAGAGTAAGAGAGATCAACAGAGCACAAAAATCCCACCAGAAAGGGACTTTTCTTTACATTCAATTCTTGATTTATGTTTTTTAGAGGTATTGTGCTGTGAATAAATGTTTTTACATTGCAATGTTTGTTAATGTTTCAGTGAATGCCAGTGTTGAGAGAGGATTCAAGGTATTGTTTTCACTTGATAGGCCATAAGTTCATTACTGTTCAGTACCAAGTACAAGATTCAAATACCGGTAAAAACTATTACTTTATTGTACCTATTTAAAATATAATTTTGGTAATACTTATATGTATTTAATTTTACCAACAGGATTATCGAGGTGCATTAGCCTTTTACAAAAAAGCCCTGAGAACAAACCCTAACTGTCCAGCTGCAGTTCGTTTGGGAATGGGCCACTGTTTTATGAAGCTTGGGAACCAGGATAAGGCTCGTTTAGCATTTGAACGGGCCTTAGAGTTGGATGGAATGTGTGTTGGAGCCCTTGTAGGATTAGCAGTGTTGGAACTCAATGAGAAGAAACCAGAGAATATTCGTCGGGGAGTTCAGATGCTGTCTAAGGCATACAATATTGATTCCACCAATCCTATGGTGTTAAATCATTTGGGTAATCACTTCTTCTTCAAACAGGTATGAGTGATTGATTATACATTATATTCACTGTATATAGTGCAGTATACATACTAAAGGAAACATATATGTTATGAATGAATACAATGTTTGTTTTGTTTCATGGCAATTAGTTTTTATTTGAATGACAAAATGAAAAAGAAGGTGACCAAGATTCTTTCATCGTTTTCAGGATTTCCAAAAAGTGCAGCATCTTGGGCTCCATGCTTTTCATAATACTGAAAATGAATCGATGCGTGCCGAGTCCTGCTATCAAATGGCTCGAGCATTCCATGTGCAAGAAGATTACTCCCAGGCATTCCAGTATTATTATCAGGCTACCCAGTATGCTGCTCCAAACTTTGTCCTTCCTCACTATGGTCTTGGTCAGATGTATATCAACAGAGGTGACACAGAGAATGTAAGATGTCTATTTATTTTACAGTAATTATTGTATATATTTAAAAAAGTTCCCTATAGATTTGTAGTAATGTATATAAATACATGCCAACAGCTTAACCCCTGAAGTGCAATTATAGTGATACATTGATTTAAACTATTAGCCTTGGGTTTTACATGAATTATGGAACCTGTATTATGACGATTCTTCCCCACTGGCTGTACATGCCAGTGGGGTGAACCCTGGTAAGGCAGTTTTGAATCTTCGTTGGGTCATAGAGTTCTTGGTGATATCTAACTGGATGTAGTGTAGTTTTGTAGTTGTAGTAGAGGTAAATGTAACAGCCCCATAAGTGTAATTATGTACTATGTACGACAGTAAGGAAATGTACTTTTTACACTTTGTATTATATATATATATAATATAATATATATATACTGTATAACTATTAACAATACATTTTGCCCCCTTCCCCCTCTGAAGTTGATAGAATGATCACATAAACTGGAATGTAAATATAATGCACTGGAGTGCTGTACAAATAGCATATGAATGTTGTTCTAAATGTGAAGAAAGAGATTTACCTGTCTGGCCAATGTAAACAACTCATTACAAGGGATGGAGTACACACACACACACTGCTACCGACGAGGGCGAGTTCTTAATTAACATGGACTTAATTGTATTATTATTTTTGAACACTGGGTTAATATTAAGGTTTTTCAGAGCTGGGGCAAGATTTAATAGTCCATCGACATATGGTAATACCAACGAGCTATTTATTTCTGGCTTAGACTTGGGAGATTGTTTGTAGAACGTCGTTTTTGTTTGACCAAACGTGAAATCCAAGACCAATTTGGGTATTTTTAACGTCTTCCCAATTTCAAATATTTTTGTTATTTCTTCATTCAAAAATTCTGGTCTGCAAACTCTCCAGGCTCTGAGAAACATTCCAGAAAATTCCATAGATTTATGTTCTCACGCACTATGGTTAAATTGTATACCATATATGATGTTAGATTTGAACCTTGTTTATACACAAATGTTTATATAGTTCACTTATTTTTCAGGCAGCACAGTGCTTTGAAAAAGTATTGAAGGCGCAGCCAGGTAATTATGAGACCATGAAGATTCTGGGCTCGTTATATGCCAGTTCCACTTCTCAGAGTAAACGAGACCTAGCCAAACAGCATCTTAAAAAGGTATGCAGCTTTTGAGTTGTATAAGATTAAGGTTGTAAAATCTTTTGTCATATATTGCAGATATCCTGGGCTTTGAGACTTGCAAAATGGGGTGTGAGTAATTAGGCTAATCCTGGTGTAATGCGTTATGTTAATTGAGCTAATTTACAGGTATTTGTTTATATTTTTGCAAGGTTTTCAGAATATGGAAACATCAACATTTTGTTATATGACTCAACTTCTCTTGTGATCATGTTATAAATTTTTTTTGGAATGATCTAAATTTTGATTTGGATTGGCCTTATCTATGAAGATTTTGGTATTTTGAAACTTGGAAACAGACTCATAGATCTTGTTCATTTTTCTATCTTCAATTTTCAGATTGCAATTTTAGAATGGCAGCAAACATTGGAGAAAACACTTTTTTGGTTTACTGGGGTTGAAGTGAAAGTGCACATATAATTATACCTGGATTGAACGTAGATGTATAAGTGCTTGTAGCTCCAAGCACTTATTTTATCTAGATCAATTTGAATGGCATGTCTCCTATCTTCCCACTCTGTCTGTTATCTTAGCATCATCCGCAAATATGTTCATATAATTCTCTATTCCTTCTTGTAGAACGTTTATGTAGACAATGGACATTACTGGTGCAAGAACTGAACTCTGCTAGTAACACTCCTCAAGTCAGATACATTGTTTCTGATTACTGCCCAGAAAATTTTTCATCCATATCAGAAGTCTCCCTGTCACCCCATCAGCATGTTCCAGTTTCCAGAACATCCTCTTGTGTGGGACTATCAAAAGCCATTTTTAAGTCCAGATAAAGACACTCAACTCGACCACTTCTCCTGTAGAATCTCTGTGGCTCTATCATAAAAACTGTCATATGTGCCTTGACCGAGGTGAAGCTGAATTAGGAAATAAATATAATCAACCCAACTACTCTTGTACAGATTATGCAGGTTTCAGATCAACTAAGTTTGAACTAATGTTCATAGAATATTCACATCTTGAGTTTCAATGGTGTATTTTTCAGGTGACAGAACAGTACAGTGAAGATGTGGAAGCCTGGATTGAACTGGCACAAATCTTGGAGGGCAGTGACCTTCAGGGTTCCTTATCTGCATATCACAAAGCTACTAAACTTCTGCAGGATCTTGTACAAATGGACATCCCTCCTGAGATCCTTAACAACATAGCAGCATTACATTTTAGGCAAGTAACATATATCTCAAGGTGTTATGCTCATCAGCTTATAAATAAAATGCATATTCTGCATTATTGTTAATGCATACTTTTCATCTCCTGTGAATGTTCAGCCTATATTTCTGTCCCTGGCTGGGGAGCGGCTGAAGGGACCTTGCTTATAAAATGAAATATATACTGTACTATACTGTAGAGAGAGAGAGGGTGGGAGAGAGAGAGAGAGGGTGGGAGAGAGAGAGAGGGTGGGAGAGAGAGAGAGAGAGAGAGGGGGTGGGAGAGAGAGAGAGAGAGAGAGAGAGAGAGAGAGGGGGGTTTGGGAAGAGAGAGAGAGAGAGGGGGGGGGTGTTTGGGAAGAGAGAGAAAGAGTTGTAATCCTAATTGTACATGGGGGGAGGACTTGATTCATAGTGTAAACAAAACACACACTGCTGAGTAATGTGTGTGTGTGAAAGTGGTCGAGTAGGGATGTAGAAACTATTGACATCATGATTTCATTTGTCAGACTGAACAATTTTGAAGAAGCTCACAAGCACTTCAAGGAGGCCTGGGATCGTTGTGAAGCTGAGAAGGACCAAGACCCCCAGTATTACTCCTCCATTTCTGTTACTATCAAGTATAACTCTGCTCGTCTGCACGAGATGTTCTGTCATTATGATAAGGCAGAAAAACTCTATAAAGAAATTCTTCAGGACCATCCCAATTATGTTGATTGTAAGTAACGTTTTCTCTAAATTTCTGGAATTTTTTGCTTTTGAGGAATTAGTTATTCACAAAGTTTATTCAATTCAATAATTGGCAGTTGCTATAAATATCATTAACAGACTGTGTGCTATATATAATTCATTGAATGGTATGGATTCTTCCTACATAAGGCATGTTAAACTGAGGGTCCCCCCAGGGTGACCCCCTAAATGGGGGCCACCCTTTATTGTCATGAGGGTCACACACCACAACTAATTGAAGTCATTTAATACAAATTATTACAGAATATTTGTATATGCTGCAATCACTTTATATTTTATATACAGTATCCTTTGTGCGGGCCACAGAAGTGCTTGCAAGGCACTGGGCCGTATGTTTGCCCTACATGATATTCCTTGTTTTTCACCTTTTTCATGCCTGACTATTCTTGAACCTTTCATATGACATTACCCTTCTCTTGGGGTAACCAATTGTAATAACTCAGAAATAATGTGTAATGTATAATGTGTAAAGTATAATGTCCACCAGCCAGTGGACATTATACTAGCCTGTGTATATTACACCAGCCGGTGGACATTACATTAGCCTGTGTATATTACACCAGCCGGTGGACATTATACTAGCCTGTGTATATTACACCAGCCGGTGGACATTATACTAGCCTGTGTATATTACACCAGCCGGTGGACATTATACTAGCCTGTGTATATTACACCAGCCGGTGGACATTATACTAGCCTGTGTATATTACACCAGCCGGTGGACATTATACTAGCCTGTGTATATTACACCAGCCGGTGGACATTATACTAGCCTGTGTATATTACACCAGCCGGTGGACATTATACTAGCCTGTGTATATTACACCAGCCGGTGGACATTATACTAGCCTGTGTATATTACACCAGCCGGTGGACATTATACTAGCCTGTGTATATTACACCAGCCGGTGGACATTATACTAGCCTGTGTATATTACACCAGCCGGTGGACATTATACTAGCCTGTGTATATTACACCAGCCGGTGGACATTATACTAGCCTGTGTATATTACACCAGCCGGTGGACATTATACTAGCCTGTGTATATTACACCAGCCGGTGGACATTATACAAGCACATGTATATTACACCAGCCGGTGGACATTATACTAGCCTGTGTATATTACACCAGCCGGTGGACATTATACTAGCACATGTATATTACACCAGCCGGTGGACATTATACTAGCCTGTGTATATTACACCAGCCGGTGGACATTATACTAGCCTGTGTATATTACACCAGCCGGTGGACATTATACTAGCCTGTGTATATTACACCAGCCGGTGGACATTATACTAGCACACATATATTACACCAGCCGGTGGACATTATACTAGCCTGTGTATATTACACCAGCCGGTGGACATTATACTAGCCTGTGTATATTACACCAGCCGGTGGACATTATACTAGCACACATATATTACACCAGCCGGTGGACATTATACTAGCACACATATATTACACCAGCCGGTGGACATTATACTAGCACACATATATTACACCAGCTTGTACTTATGACACTCCCTGAACTTATCCCTATATGCAATACAACAACCTGTGATTATTTAAGTCCTTTATCTCTGCATATTACACTTCTCTGTATCACGAGGTATGCTGACCCATGGATTCTTGTCTCAGTCACCCTCATGCTATTGAAACAAAATTTGTAAATATTGATTTCTATAAATATTGCTATATTGTAAATATTGTAAATATAAGTATTCTGCAGTGGAAAGAAAGTTTTTGAAGGAAATTGCATTTAATATATAAGTGTAATATTAGGTTATTCATGATAGTATTTTGTTATGCTTAGCTTTTTGTTCTGTACTTTATATTGCGTTTTTATTCTTGGAAACAAAATTGTGTGTTTAATGTAAATTTTGATGTACTCTCTGTTATAGGTTACCTCCGTCTTGGCTGTATGGCAAGAGATCGGGGCCAAATTTATGATGCCTCCGATTGGTACAAGGAAGCGCTGCGTATGAACAATGAGCATCCTGATGCATGGTCTCTGATGGGTAACCTTCATCTGGCCAAGAATGAATGGGGACCTGGACAGAAGAAATTTGAAAGAATTTTGAAGGTTTATTTCATTGTGTTTTGTATTGTTAAATTTTATATTTAGTGTTATTCCTTGGGTACATTGAGAATAATCATGTCTCCCCCTAACTCTTCTGACTTCGAGCAACTTTAGGTGCAATTGACGCAGCCTTTCCTCATAACTCATACCTCTTAGTTCTGGTACTAGTCTAGTGACATACCATTCAACTTTCTCCAGCTTCATCTTATGTTTGACAAAGTAGGAACTCCATGCTGGAACTACATTCTCCAGTACACACAGAAATCATAATAGTGTGATGCATCTAATGAACAAATCCACAAGGGCCGTGACGAGGATTCGAACCTACGTCCAAGAGCATCCCTATGTCTCGGAGAGGTTGCAGGATCCAAGTAAGTTCAGTAGAACTTCTGGTTTCAACTCTTTTTACCATGTCGCAGCTCAATCGATTAAGGCAGCGTCTGGGATGCTCTGGGACGTAGGTTCGAATCCTCGTCACGGCCCTTGTGGATTTGTTCGTTAGATGCATCACACTGTTGTGATTTCTGTGTGTAATGAAGTAAGGGCGAAGAGGTAGAACGGCCTATTGACATAGCTCAAGTGCAGGGGGGAGTTGTGTAAAACCCTGGTGTGTGTCTCGGAGAGGCTGCAGGATCCAAGTAAGTTTAGTAGCACTTCTGGTTTCAACTCTTTTACCATGTCATAGCTCAATCGATTAAGACAGCTTCTGGGATGCTCTGGGACGTAGGTTTGAATCTTTGTCAGTTCAAATTTCGAACTTTTGTTGCTATACCCATATACAGGGAGGGGTTTTTGACACTTTCAGAAGAAAAAAATTATTTTTTCCCGAGGTTTCATTTCTTGCGTACTGGGCGGCCATATTTATAGGCCGCGCAGTTAAAGGGTTAAGGAGACAGAAGGAAGGAAGATGAAAGGAATTAAGGAGACAGAAGGAAGATAAAGAGGATTGATGAGGCATAAGAAAAAGGAAGAGGAGAAAGGAGGGAGGGAAAGGGGTAAAGGAAGGAGGAGGCAGAAGCAGCAGTTGGGGCTAAGCAGTATTAAGGCTCTCAGTGTTAGCATTATGTACAATTTATGTATTTCTCTCATTAATGTTGATTGTTTTTCTGCAGAATCCCAGCACCACAAATGATTCGTATTCTCTGATCGCCCTGGGCAATGTGTGGTTAACAACGCTACACCAGCCCAACCGGGACAAAGAGAAGGAACGCAAGCATCAAGATCGTGCTCTTGCCATGTACAAGACGGTCCTTAGAGCTGATCCAAGGAGTATATGGGCTGCCAATGGCATTGGTAAGTGGCTATTTAATAAGGATTATTTCATCTAGAAATAATGGTGAAAACTTCAGACAAAATTACAACAATATGTTATTAACCTTATCAGGACTGATAGAAAAAGGAAAATGCAAATATTTATATAGTTTGTTGTTATACAGCACTTATGATCATAACAATTGAGAAGCTAGTAATATTATTTAATAATATCAATATACTGTATATCATGTTATTACATTCTTGTTTACTTGTAGTAATTCATACTTAAAAGCAATAATCATCTATTTTGAGGTTATTTTGAGATGATTTCGGGGCTAAGCGTCCCCATGGCCCGGACCTCGACCAGGTCTCCTATTTTGTTACACACCCCCAGAAAGCAGCCCGTAGCAACTGTCTAACTCTCAGGTACTTATTTACTGCTAGATAACAGGAGCATCAGAGTGAAAGAAACTCCGCCCATTTGTTTTCGCCTCCACCGGGGATCGAATCCTAAGGACTACGAATCCGAAGCGCTGTTCACTCAGCTGTCAGGCCCCAAAGCTGTGGTCGTACTTTGGGTTAGTCGGGTTCCCTTCCCTCCTTCCTGTTACAGGGTTCGGGTCTCATGGGTCATCCGCAGGGTCCTTTGGTTTTGCCGGTTGTTTTGTTTTTGTCTTCGGCGAGTGGCATCCGCCTCTTGGGTCCTTCCCTCTTTTCCTTATATTTGGTGAGGTAGCTCCATGAAGCCAACGGGGCTCCCAGCAGAAAACCAGTGTTGAATGTAATGAAACACCATTTTCTGGATGAGTCCTGGAGTTTCCCTGACATCCGGCCCTCTGGTCGGCGATGTTTCTTGTGAGTTTTGACATCCAGCCTAAGAACTGGTGGATGGATCAGCGGCTCAAGGGTCTGGGACTCCCACCTTCCCCTACCTCGGGAGGGGGGGGTAGGGGGCAAGCCCCCCCCCTACTTGGGAGGGGGGGCTTGCACAGACAACGGCACGGCGGTGTAATGATGTCAGGCTCATTTGCTAGTTTTTGTTTGGGGAGTTCTGGCACTTGGTCGGCTTTCGGTAGCAATTTTTCACCAGAGTAGTGGCTTGTTTTGGGGTGCCTACCTTTTTGGGTGCCAGTCACATTCTGTGACCGGCAGCTGCTTTATGACGCCATCTGCTGGCCACAGGTTGTGTGTCGCTGGATGCTCTTTGGGTTAATCCAGTTTCCCTTGTTCCCTGCTCCAAGGCTTGTCTTTCTCAGGTTGTCCGCAATGTTATTAAGTCTAGCCAGCTTGTGATCTACCATCACACCCATGTTGTTCAATAAACCCTTGAACTATATGTTTAACACATCTCTTCTGTCCATGGAGGACAGAAGAAAATGTATATATTCTGGTTAGCATTGTAAATGTGTGGCCATGTTTGTGGTAGAAAATAATAAAAAAAAAAAAATCACGCCCATGTTGTACGAAAGTATGCCGCTCTTTCGCCTGTTTTTTTTTTTTTAATATATCTTGAACTGATATTTGGGTGAAGGGGGTTTTGGAAGTCGAATAGGGTCCTGACCTTGAGGTATCTCGTGTACATCCCGGTTCTTTCGTGGCCTTGGGGCACTTGTCATGGCAGTCTGTCTCCTCCTCAGTTTGAGACCTGCAGTGTTGCTGCCTTCCTGGTAAGACCCTGTTTGTCTTCTGTGGGTAGTTAGCTGTAGGGAGTAGACGGGGCTTCCCCCAGAAAACCAGCATTGAATGTAATGAAACACCAGCTTCTGGGTGAGCCCCCGGAGGCTCCCTGACACCCTCCCTCCCCTTCAGTCGGCAGCTTTCATCATTCAAGAACTAGGGTGGTTAGCTGCCAGCTCACCTTGGAAGCTCCCCCTCCCCATAAGGAGGAATGAGGGGGCTAGTTGGATGATGTGTTGCTTGTTTGTTTTCTTTTTGGGGGGAGATATTTTGCTCTTTTGACGAAGTAGCTTGTATAGTGTAACCAGACATTGGTCTGTTTTGATTTGCCTACCTTTCTGGGTCCTTCCCTAGTTGATGGCTTTTTTGACATGCTTTAAATGTAAAGTGCTCATTGGCCATTGCTCCCTGCACCTCTTCAAGGGGATCCAGGTTCCGGCTCGTGATCCCCGGTAGACTGGCTGAGACTGAGACTAAACTCAGAGGCTCTCTTGCCTCAACTCACAAAGCTCCTCTGTGACTGATGACCCCAACTAATACAGCACTATATCAGTTTAAATAGCTTCGGGGAGCCTCTGAAGCACACCCAGAAACTGGTGTTTCATAACATTCAACGTTGGGCTTTTTGAGCTCGCTTAACTTTTTAGAAAAATAGAATATCCAGCACAAAATCTTTGTGTCGATATGAGTGTGTTTGAGCTTGATTGGTGTGTGCAACAATGTGTTTGATTTATGAAAACTTGATATTTTAGGTGCTGTGTTGGCTCACAAGGGGTATATTAATGAGGCAAGAGACATCTTTGCCCAGGTGAGAGAGGCAACAGCAGATTTCAGCGATGTGTGGATGAACATTGCACACATATATGTTGAACAGAAGCAGTTTATTAATGCTATTCAAATGGTAAGTGACAAAATTTAGTAGATAGTAATCTTTTGTTAGTTTTTATTAGTGTCTAAAAAAAAATATGTATTTGGATTTTAATTTATAATACAATGCTCAAATGTAACTGGGTAAGGGAATAATGTCTGTCATTCAAATATGTACTACTACTACTGAAGAGGAACTAAAGGTAATACAGTATTGTTTTTTCTGGAGGGGGGAGGGAGCCCCTTCGGCTCCCTGGAGCTATCCAGGTTGATATGTAATATATTAGACTTTGACATCAGTCAGTGTGAATGGCGTTCATAGGCCTACTGGGGACCACGAGCCAGAACCTGGCCCCTTCAGAGGGGCACGAGGAGCAATGGCATATAGAATAGCACATGTAGTTTGGAGCATTCTATGTCTGCCATCGACCAGGTCAGGCACCCAGAAAGGTAAACATCCTAAATCAAACTCCTATTCTGGTTGAAACTACTACTAAAAGTCAAACAAGTGGACAGAACTCCTCCCAAGAAAAACAAGCAAATGAGCATGACATCACCGCTGTCTGCGTAGCTCCCTCGCGCTGGCAACCCACACCTTTAGTTCTGAGGCTGGATGTCAAAACATGCAAAAAAGCCGCCGACCGGGAGGGAGGGATGGATGCCAGGGAACCTCTGGGTCTCATCCAGAAAATGGCGTTTCATTACATTCAACGCTGGTGTTTCTGGAGGGAGCCCCTTTGGCTCCCTGGAGCTATCTACCCAAAGATAAGGACAAAAGAGGAATAAACCAGGTAGGCAGAAACCATGCACCCGTAAACCGAAAGCAAGACAACTGGAAACACTGAACGACCCCGCGGATGACCCGGGAGAGCCGAACCATGGAACAGGGACAAAGAGAACATTCTCACAATCGACTTGAGAATTGTCCAGGACGGACCAAAATGTCGTCGTCCCTTCATCTTCTAGTGTGTAGTCTGGTCAACATACTTTAGGCTCATTATTGTGACTCATCACTTGCATAGGGACAAAGAGAACTCGGGCAACCCAAAGCACGTCCATGGCCACAAAGGCTGCGGCACGCAGGCAATGGCAGAGAGCCACAACCAGACTCAAGATGCACCCCCGGCCTAACCAACCAAGCATCAACAACCCCAGGGACCCCTAAGAGATGCAGAATACCGCATCTCCTGGGTAAGGCGTGTGAATACATGAGGTGCCAGATGCAACATGAATGGGAGACAACGAAAGCGGTATCCGAGACGCCCCACAACAAACCCGAGCAAATTGCTGAACCCCGGAAGAATCGGGACGCAACCCAGGCCCGACCCATCCAGGAGGAACCATAAGGACCCCCGAATGACCAGCAAGTCCGATAACAGACAACAACTAGAAGAAGCTGCTTGCAGAAACTTCCTCAGAAAAGAAGTTGGGCAGAAACTGCCCAACCACAGACTTCGCAAACAGCAAAGGACAAAATGGCAACAAAAAAAACCTAGCGAGGGCTCCAGCGAGGAAGCGAGCACCACTAGCCAACACTCGAGACGCGAAGCAAAAAACTGTGACACCGCATCCCGCAGGACCAGCGCAAACAGCTCCAGCAGTGTAGACATCGCTCATGCCACCGAGACCAAGACACCAGAACCAGGAGCAGGACCAAGCGCCTCCACATCCTCCTGAAGCCAATCCTAAGACAGCTCCAGGAGGGAAAAGACCCGCAAGACTGAAGCCAGCAGGCCAAAAAAAATTTTGAAAACGGTTTCATGTAATACAGTATTTTCTTCATTAATGTTGCTACTTTTTCTGTGGAGAGCCCCTTCGGCGTCCCGGAGCTATACTGGGCTGATGTACATATATTAAACTGTGGCAACAGTCAATAGATGGAGTTCTAGGCCTGCCGGGGACCAGAGCCAGAACCTCCCCCCCCCCTCAAGAAGAGTTTTGGGCAATTTTTAATCAACTGTAGTTTGTTTTGGAATTATTACCTTTCAGGGTGCCTCACCTGGTAGATGGCAGACATGACTGCTTCCAATTACATGGGGGAGTGTCTATAGGCCATTGCTCCTCGTGCCTCTTCTTGAGGGGGCCAGGTTTTGGCTCGTGGCCCCCGGTAGGCTTAGAACTCCATCGATTGACTGTTGCAACGTATATGCACATCAGCCAGTATAGCTCCGGGGAGCCTCCAGGACTCGCCCAGAAAATGGCATTTCATTACATTCAACGTAGACATCGCACATTTTTTATGACAGGAAATTAGAATGTAAGATACAGGGAGTTACATATTAATATTTACAATTAAAAAATGATATAGAAGGCAGAAAGCATGGGGGGGGGGGACTGATGAGATGATTTTACTGTATTGAGGAAATGTGACTTAGGAAGATGTGTGATAGGTATATGGTATAAGTATACGGTATAAGTGATAGGTATACTATATTTTAGTGTTAATACAAATAATGCTTTTTGTTTTAATATAAATAATGTTCAGTATATTGTTTTGATGTATATACTTTAATGTGTACTTTTAAATTGTGGTGTGGCTGGTAAGATGATGATCTCATGCTTTTGAGGCCCGTGCTCATACACAAATTATGAAAATACATTTAATTTGTATTTAATGTATTTAATGAACATCATTTCAGTATGAGAACTGTCAAAAGAAATTCTTCAAATACCCAAATGTGGAAGTTCTTGGGTATCTTGCACGAGCATACTTCAAAGCTTCTAAGCTGAAGGAAGCCAAATACACTCTACTAAAGGTAAGTCTGAGGTCAAATTTTTAGTGAAGAGTAGTCACTAGTGTATAATGAATTGGCAGGATTATCACAGTATATTATTTCAGACTCAAAATGAAGACACTCATGCAGGCGATGAGTCACAATAACGTGGCTAAAGTCAGTTGACCAGACCACACACTAGAAGGTGAAGGGACGACGACGTTTCGGTCCGTCCTCGACCATTCTCAAGTCCTCAATCCTCAAATACACAAATGTGTGGTCTGGTCAAATACAAAATACACAATCCTCAAATACCTTCTAGTGTGGTCTGGTCAACAAGACACTCATTTTCCATACACTGTGACTGGGCCAGCTATCCCTGATATTTTTTTCTTTTAGATAAACAAACTACAGCAATTTTAAAATGATCTCTTGCAGGAATATGCAAAATGATTATTTTTATTTATCACTCTTCTGACATTGATAACCTCATAGCAAGTAAAAGCTGCAAAAATTCCAAAATGTGGGCTTTGACTTGTTAGAGAAATTAACTATATACATTATCTTGACTAAGATGTTCAAACAAAATTTTGTACCATGTAAGATTGGAAAATTTAATTATATTAATTACTATAATAAGCAGATGAATGATGCTTGTAACCTAACATGTTACATAGGGGTTGGCTATGCATTTATATGCTTTTCCATTTAAGGCAGAAACTATATTAATGGCTGCAAATAATGAAAAGTAATTTTGTTGACTGTATTTGCAGGCTCGCCATGTTGCCCCTCATGATACTGTGATCCTGTACAACTTGGCATTAGTGCTGCAGCGGTTGGCTATGCAAATACTCAGAGATGAAAAATCTGTTTTGAAGACTGTGTTGGCTGCTGTGCATGAGCTGACCTTGGCACAAAAGTGAGTCACCACAAATGTATCTTTAGAAAGTATTTGCATAGATACAAGTATATACACACATGTATTGTAAATAGGAATATCTGTAAAGGCTATAAGGCAATCTTTCTTGGCAACTTCTAAAATTAATGCTTAAAAAAGATTTAGTACTTTTATGTGCAAAACAAAGAGAGTTAGTTACCTTTTATATATTAAAAAAAAAACTGTCATATTAAGGAATGGTATTTATTTCAGATATTTCCAACACTTAAGTGTTAATGGAGATCGTTTGAAATATGACTTGGGAGCGGCAGCTGCAGAGGCAAGTCAGTGCCGTGATCTGCTGTCTCAGGCTCAGTACCATGTGTCTCGTGCTCGCAGACAAGATGATGAAGAGAGGGCTCTTCGACGCAAGCAAGATGAAGAGAGACAAGCGCTGAAACAGAAGGTTGTGGAAGAGAGACAGAAGATAGAGGAGGAGAGGCGACAGTTGATAGAGGACAGGGTAAGCTTCAGCCTTGGGGTCGGGAGGAGGGTGGGGGGTTATGCACAGCATGTGAGACACAGCATTATTGTGGCATGCTGTATGGTCATTTACAATGGACCATGCCCATTAAGGGCACTAAATGCAATTATTTGTGTGATAATTGTCTTGAGCCTTAAACAGCTTGGCAATTGAAAGTTCCTGATGATTCAAGCACAGGAGTTAATCACAGAAAGCCATTGAAGTTGTTTAAGGGTTAATATGTACATGATTAGCTTGATATGTACAAGATTTAAACGGCCCGCAGATACACGGGGTTCACCTCACCTTCATCTGGACTCTTGTAAACAGACTCCATTTTTTTTTAAATTGTGGGCAACATTTCCGGGTGTTAGGACCTCAGTATCGAGTGAGCCACCAAGGTTGGTGCACGCAGCATGAGCTCACAGCACTGCTGTTCAGCTTGTGACCACAGCATCGCCTAAAAATGTCAAAATATATAAGTACATGTTATTATTTAGTGATGATAGTATTAACGAAGACCCCTGACTGTGATAAAAATGTCCAGGATTCTGATAATAGCAGGATTGTGGTGATAATTAGTGCTGTAGTGGGAGGAGTAATCTTGGTGGGGAGGGAGATAGCATTGTCTGCTGACTGTGTGTGACCACCTTTTACTGTCTGGACTCACTATACCAGCTTAGTTGTTTGCTATGGTGAACAAAACATGCAGATACTTATATATATAACATCTGTATATAGTGAATAAAAGCAAAAAACAGTATGGTGGGAAGAGAAGAATGGTGAGTCATGTGAGGTGAGGTAGGGAGGGAGTGGCAGCCAGTGACGGGCTAGCTGGTGTGTGCTGGTCACTCCTTGCTGCTGTTTGACTCAACACACCAACTTAGTGATTCCTTATGGTGAACACAAATGTAGATACTTATATATAACGTGTATATATATAATGTAATGACAACAATAGGTGTGTTGAGAGAAGCCATTTTGGTGAGGGAGGTGGCAACATCTGCATGACTTGTCATGCTGGGTAAAGGTGGCTACTATCCTCTTTGGGCACTATACCGCCTTAATTGAACAGTTATGATGAACAAAACATGTAGGTACTTATATATAATGTGTGTATATAGGGTAATAACACCACAACAGTATACTTGAAGGAGGAATGTTAGTGCGTCTGGCCTTGAAGGAAGGTGACGATGGGAGGGACGGAGGGAGCATGAGTTGTGTGTGTGGCCACCTGTTACTGTCTGCCGTCACCATACAAGATTAGTGGTTCGCTATGGGGGAACACAAATGTAGATACTTACATATAACGTGTATATATATATAGTGTAATAACCGACAAAGTATTTGTTCACTGTTTGATGAACATAATAATTGAATCAATAATATGCACACCATAATTTTGAGTACAGCGATGATTTACACATTTTATTATATAAATATATCACACTATACACTACTGAATATTATTAGAGCAAAAAAACGAAGAAAAAATCAGAGACATTGAAATAATTAGGTAAATATATCTTTGTGGCAACCCCCTGCCTGACAGTTTTGGTGAAGCAGAACTTCCGAGTCAGTGGCCAGACTTCCCCGACCTTTTGCGGCCAAAATATGCCACTTACAATTTTTTATTATTTTTCCCGTGATCAGGGAACAAAAATTATCAGGTTAAGAAGAATTTTTTTGTCTTGTTATGTGTCCGTGGGTGACAATCTCAAATATTATTGATATTAATATTCAAATAATATTACAGTGTAATATTTCGGTATTACCTAATAGCCCTTAGCAACACAAGGGTTAAGTGGGTTTGAATCAAGTTTTACTGTAAACATTTTAAACAAATATTACTACAAAGTTATCTTTTCTGGGGGGAGCTTGGTCGGCTCCCCGGAGCTATCCAGGCAGAATGGATATGTATAACTTTCTGGCATCAGTCAATGTGTTTGGAGTTCTTGCCTACCGGGGACCACGAACCAGAACCTGGCCCACCTCAGAGAGACAGAAGGACCAATGGCCTATAGAAACCCCCATGTGGTTGGGAGAATTCTATGTCTGCCATCGACCAGGACAGGCACCCAGAAAGATAGGTGCCCCAAACAAACCCCTATTTTGGTGAAACTATTGCTACTGAAAGCCAAGTGCACAGAACTCCCCAAATGAAAATTAGGAAACGAGCATGACGTCATCATGTTTCCGCGCCGCTGTCTGCACACCCCCCCCCCCCTCTTCGGGAGGGGGAAGTGGGAGCCTCAGACCCATAAGGAGGAGCAGGGGGTCAGACACGGACTCCCTGCTGCGTTGCCGACTTCCTCTTCGGGTTTTTTGGGGCTCAGTGCCTTGGCTCCTACCCGATCCCTCACTCGATGTGTTCATGGACGCGTCGTCTCTTGGCTGTGGCTTTGTGAGCACCAGTGCTCACAAGTGGACGGCTAGGAGCGGTGGGGTCCACACAGCACGGTGCAGGAGTTCGCGGCGGTGTGGTTTGCGCTTTGTAGGTAATACGATCTGCAGGTTGCCTGCGGATCGACGATCCGACTCCATTCGAACTGTTTCCTGGTAGTTCATTGCCCGAGGGGGTTCGATGCAGTCCTTGGATCTTTGGAGCTGGTCGCTTCGGGTGACTCGTCTGCTGAATTCTTGGGGTTTGGCTGTCCTGGCGGTTCACATCCGAGGGTGTACAATGTCCTGGCGGACGGCCTGTCCCGGTTCATTCCTCTGTCCACAGAATGGACGGTCGATGCTGACTCATTTAGTTGACTCTGCCTGACGTTCGAGAACCCGGAGGTGGATCTCTTCTTGTAGGCTTGGTCGAGGCGTCTTCCGGTATATGTTGCGCCCTTCCCCAACTGCGAGGCCATCAGGATCGACGCCTTCCGGCAGGACTGGTCGAGGTGGGAGGTTCCTGTACCTCTTTCTCCTAGTTCAGCTGTTGCTCCAGGTCCTGGCTCGCTTGGAGACATCCCAAGGGCGGGTAGTCCTTTTGGCCCCGTGGTGGGCCAAGGTGTGGTTTCAGACGCTGCTTGCCTGGTGTCCGAACCCAGAGGTTTTCCACGACTCAGCCTCTTTCAGAAGATCGGCCCGGTACGTTACAAGACTGGTTCGCTCTTCTCCTCGAGTCGTCGCGTTTGGTATTTTTGACTCGAGTTTATCACCATCTGTATGGTGATCAGGTGGCCTCATTGATGGTGTGAGCTCCTCACCTGCGAGCTTTGTCTCGGCGGCGGTATGAAGTTTCCTGGCGGTCCTTCTGTTTCTTTTTTACTCTTCGTTGTTATACTTCGCTTTCGGTTCGGGTGGTGCTGTCCTTTCTCTCGTGATTGAAATTGAAATTGAAATTGAAATAAGTTTATTGAGGTAAAATACACACAAAGGGATGAGGTAGCTCAAGCTATTCTCACCCCGTTCAGTACAACGTGTTAGTACATACATAGACACACATCACAAACAATAAACCTGTTACCAAACATTCTGAGAGATAAACATGTACATTTCCTCCTTCACAAGTGGTATGGTATCAGACGTACACAAATACTTTTATGACCTAGTTATACGGATAATTCAACAAAATATTACAGTCTTGGTGCAAAATTCTTATATCTCTCAAGAATATCATCAACCTTTCCTTTGTGACACATCCAGGCTATTTGCTCAGGAACAGTCCTTATCTCAGTGTTTCTATATACATTAATCAACGGACAATCAAGAACATAATGGGCAATGGTGTGAGACCTTAACATACCACATAGTTTACACTTCGTGTCATTATCATGAACGCCTATCCCATATTCCCAGTAATATTTGTACCCAAGCCTGAGCCGCATGTACACAGAGTCACTCCAAACATTTCTCCTTTTACCATAAGTGAAAAGGGTGTTTTGACTCACATGTAGTGTTGCATGGTTAGACTTCTCTCATACATTATCCCTCTCCTCGTGATTGTTCCAGGATCATCATCTTATGCCGAATACCGTCGCCTCGTATCGTGTCTTGCTGGTAGAGCTGCTTCAGCTTGCTTTCAGTATAGGTATTACCTTTGCGCCGTTTCTCAAGCTGTCTCGTACGTTGTTTCACCTCCAGCCTGCTCATGCACCGCCTGAGCCGTCCTGGTCTTTGGATAGAGTGAAGAATGAGACTGCTGCTTTCCGGAGGGGTCCTTGGATTGTTGATGCTTGGATGGTCAGGCTGAGGGTGCATCATGTGTTGTGTCCGGTTGCGGCCCTCCTCCTTTATTTGCGCGCCACGGCTTCTGTGTCCTGGGACGCGCTTTAGGTTGATCCGGGTTTCCCTTCTTTCCTGTTCGCTTGGACGGGTATCTCAGGTCGTCCGCAGGGTTATCAAGTCTAGCCAGCCTGGGGTCCCGAGCCCATGACGTTTGTAAGTTCGCTGCTCCTGCTGCCATCTTTGGGCAGCAGGAGCCCAAATGTCCTGGGCTGACATTTGGGCACAGGTTTATTTGGCGGTCAAACAGGGTCCTGCCTGCACTCTACCTCGTAAATGTTCCTAGTCAGGCCTGTGTCACTTAGGGTTGGCGGCTGCAGCCTGTCTCGACTTGACAGGCTGTGGAGGTGTGGAGCACCGACCACCTCCCGGGTAAGTCCCCTTTCTTATTTTGTCTTTGGTGAAGTAGCTCCGGGGAGCTGTAGGGCCTCCTCCCAGAAAACCAGCGTTGAATGTATAGTAATGAAAATTAATTTTCTGGGTGAGTCCCAGAGTCTCCCCAGCAACTCTCCCTCCCTCTAGTCGGCGGTTTTTCGTGTATTTTGATATCCAGCCTCAGAACTGCGTTGTAGATCGTCGGCGCAAGGGTCTGTGGCTCTCTCTCTCCAAGGAGGGAGCTGTGCAGACGTGCGGCGCGGCTCGTGTGATGTCATGCTTGTTTGCTCGTTTTAATTTTGGGAGTTCTGTCCACTCGTTTGTTTATTTTTATTGTTTTCACCAAAATAGTGAGTTTGTTTTGGAGTGCTTACCTTTCTGGGTGCCTGTCCCGGTCAATGACAGATATAGAATGGTCCACAATCACATGTGCATTTCTATGGGCCATTGCTCCTCGCCCCTTCCTGAGGGGGGCAAGGGTCTGGCTGTGGTCCCTGGTAGGCCAAGATCTCCATCTTGTACAGGACTTTAGGACTATTAGCCTGGATAGCTCCAGGGTGCATCCGGGACTCACCCAGTAAATGGCCTGGTTTTCTGGATTTAACATTCAAACTTTCTCAAGGTACTGTACACAGTTCTGTACTGTAATGTATGAGAACTAGGTGAGTACAATGTTCTGTTCAGAACAGAACAATGGTAAGAACACTGTATACAGTACATACCTTGAAAAAGGATGCAGGTTACATCCAAAAACTTGTCTTTAATACATTTATAAGTATATTTGGTCTTGTCTTCATCTTCATTATATCCTGTTATGTATTGGTTACTCTGTATGTGTACTGTATTGTTGAACAAAAACTCTTTAAACTATAAGAGCAGTGTAATTATCCTAACAGCATATGCATCACACTTACCTAAGTGTAAAATGTTAGTTGTCTTTCTGATCCCACACTGATTTCTTGCAGATGAAAGCACGTGAGCAGTATAAGGAGAAGATGAAGAATGCTGTCATTATCAACGAACCGGCTGAAACCCAACGTAAAGGAGGGCGCGGACGCAAGCGAGATATAGAAATATTGTCAGATGGGTCTGGTGCAGGAAGCGGAGGTGAAGGTGAACCTAGGAATAAGAAGGCTAGAGGACGTAAAAGGAAGGAAACAGGGCAAGTTAAACTCTACAACTTAAAGTTGAATACTCTACTGGATATTTCTTATTACTGTCATCTCCCAAGTCCAGTTCCAGACAACAGTACTTTATATTGTTCCACACTTGTTCTGAATTTGGGAATAATTCAGATAAGGGATATTTTTTATCCTGAGGGGAGGCTCGTCGGTTCCCCGGAGCTATCCAGGCTGATATGTATATATTAGCTTTCTGGCATCAGTCAATTTTTTTTTTAATTTTGCCCCGAGGGGCAAGTTTATTGGGCAGCGTCACTCATCTTGTGAGTGGACATACCGCCATAGCAGCATATACAACACTCCCCAAAAGGAAGAAAACCCGCTGGGTTGTTCATCCTGTCACTTGTACCCAGACACAGCTGGGACTTGCTTAACTGGCTTAACGGTCTTAAGTGAACAGCTCCTCAAACAAGAAGAACATCTGTCAACCCTTAAAAGCTAACGTTATCTTGCGGGCGCAAAATGGGGGAATCTTTTAAGAACAGTATCAATATTTGACAAACAGTGTTTTCCTAATTCAAACAATGTGGGGTTTATTATTCTACACATACTTCTAATGTCTCTCAGGTGTTCACATTCACATAGATAGTGGTCTAGGCGGTGTCCATCACTCTCATCACAGATTCTGCAACTTTGCTGATCAACAGTTGTTTCCATTCCGTATCTCCATGGATATTTGTATCCAAGATGGATTCTCGCTATTACTGATTCTCTCCTGCGTCCTCCTCTTTGCCCATAATGATTGGGATTGCCAGCTGCAACCATGTTGTACCATCATACAGATTCACTGGTTTGTGCTTCTATCCTCCTTTCCTCAGTTACGTTGTCACGGTGATGTTGCCTGACAATACCTCTAATTTGTAGTAAAGTCTAGGGTATGAAGTATTCAATATGGTCTCCTTCAGCAGCCAGCACATCTGCTCGTTCATTCTCACATATTCCAACATGGGAGGGGATCCACAGAAACTTGATGACTCTTCCCTGATTGGTAAGTACTCTCACAGCTCTCTTAATTTCAGCAACTATTGCAAGATTTTCTGCCCGATTTTTACTTAGGCTTTGAAGTGCTGCTTTTGAATCGGTGCAAATCACTGCACCATTAGTGTTCCGTTCAAGAAACCTTAACGCCATAACAATAGCAGTTAGCTCTGCTTGCGTTGAAGAGGCATAGTTCTCAATACGCGCTTTTTCTTCATTTCTGCGTTGGAAAGCATTATCCTTAATTATAGTGTAAGCTGCACCAGCCCTTCCATTGACAGGATTAGATGAGCCGTCAGTGTAGATTTGATCTAGTTCATCTCCGGCTTCTTTATAAATTTCCTCGAGATACTTGTGTCTCATTTTTTGTGGTATCATGTTGTGGAATTTTTTGTGGAATCTGTATGTTGGATTTTTTCATTGCCATTTCATTGATGATAATCCTGCATGAGTCATCCTCCCAGGGAGGTAACCTCTCTACAGGGAGGAGCTCACGGGCTTGCTCAAGCAGGTGAAGTTCTTTGAGGTAGCAGACTGATCTGTGATGCCATTTTTTGCTTCTCCTGTTTCCCCCTGAAAGTAGCACAGAACTCAGTTGTTTCTTAGCAATATCATTGTAATGGGGATCTCTGGCTATCCTAATTGCAAGCTTAGCATTAAGCTCCTTAATTCTGCTTTTAACACTGGGGACTCTCGTAGATTGGACGTTTTGGCAGTTCTTGGAACTCCAAGAATGATTGTCATGGCTTCATTCTGAATGCTTTCGAGCCTTTTCATATCGCTTTGGGAGTAGGTGCATAAAATTGGTGCGGCATAGTCCATGACGGAGCGCACATAGGCTGTGTACATCATTTTAAGCATGGCAATAGAGGCTCCATGTCCATTCCAGGTCATAGATTTCAGTGCCCTGAGTCGACTTTTGCATGTTCCTATCAGTTGGTTGAGTTCCTCTTTCTTCCCCTTGTTAGAGCCGACAGTGATGCCAAGGTACCGATAGTGGTCAATCCATTCAAGTGTTACACCATTAATTTGTAGTTCTTCATTTTCTCCCCGCTTGTGATGGGAGTATGCCTTCGTCTTGTTTGTGGAGAGAGTGAAACCGAACCCAATGCATTTCCTTCTGTGGAATTCAATGGACTGTTTAATTTTTCCCAAGGCGGGAGCTTGTATTAGGACATCATCTGCATATCCCACTTGTTGTGTTCCTTCTGGAAAATCAATATTTGCAAAGGCATTCATAAGTACATTGAATAGTGTGGGGCTTAAGACTCCTCCTTGGGGGGGTCCCGAGTTCCATATTCATTGTTCTTGAGACTGCTCCATTGAAGCAGACCTTGGCTTTCCTCCCTGTGAGATAGTCTTCAATCCATTTCATGAATTTTCTCTTGACACCCATGCATGCAAGCTCGTCCAGGATCGCAATCCTCTGTGCTTTGTCGAAAGCTCCTTTGATGTCAACAAATACAGAGTACTTAGCTATGTCATTAGCCAGGTAATTAACTATACAATTTGCTGTGCTCCGTCCTTTAACAAATCCATTGACCCCCTCCCCTAACCTGCCTATTTTGTGCAACAGTCGGTTTAGAATGATCCTTTCAAGCATCTTGCAAGTACATGACATAAGACTGATAGGTCTGTAATTGCCAGGCTCATTGGGTTTCGGTATGGGGAAAATTATTGCATGTTTCCATTGTGTGGGCAATACTCCACTAGGAATGATTTGTTAAACAGGTGGAGTAGTGGATTCCCAGAAACTTCACACAATGCATTGAGTATGTCGTAGGTCGCTGCAGTGAAAACGGCACGGCTGCGACATACTCGCAGCCGTGAAAACACAAAGGAAGGGAGCCCGCTGGCAGACTCATACAACATGGCTGGAGGAACAGGCTCGAATGCCCCCGTCGCTACCCCGAAAGGGGAATTCCCCGAGACCAACCCAGTCTCAAAACCATGGAAGCCCCGCCCTGACCCCGAACCTACAGACGGTAAAGACCCAGATGCAGGGAGGAGGGGGGGTCGGAACCCGACAAGACCACCAACCAAAACAGGGCAGCCTCGGGGCTTCCATGGAGCAAACAGCCTAGCGCGTTTCCACCGAAACTTATCGTGCAACGCCAGTGCTGCTTGCACCCACTTAGTCAGCAGAAGACTGTGTAACCGAGGCACAACAAGCAACAAAACTCGCAGGACCCTGGGCCGAAAGTCTCACCGACCCCACAGGCAGCTGACGGAGGCAAAACAGTGAGTGTCACCCTAAGACAAGGGGACAGAGCAACCCTCAAACTCGCACAAAGCGAGGGGGGGGGGGGGACTCTGGGGCCATATCCATCGGGCCCACGCTTCCCCTAAGGGTTTCCCAGGGTCCTGAGCATTTATTATAAGAGGACTCGCGCTCAGGTAAACCCAGGCAGGGTACTGCTAACCGGCGCCCATATTCAATAACCCGCACACCATCTTCATGTTTACGAATGATCTCTTGTTTTTCTTCTATGATTATCCTCACGTGTGTTTCATATGCTGAACTTTACCACTGACTTTCTTGGGACCCATGGCGTGAAATATAATAATTACTTTTATGTTCAAAAAACAAAAAATCACCAAAATAATGGAATTTCTTACAAGTGTGATCGTCACTAAGCGGGCGGCTCTGGTAAACTGAGGCAGGTCGGTCCGTGCCACTTAGGAACCTTGCGCTCGGTCGACCCGAACGCGTATCAACGAATATTGTTAGTCGACAACAAGATCGTAAGTCTAGTCGCATTTTCTGACCAAATTTACATCGTAACTCGAAAAAATCATACGTCGCGGCAATCGTAAGTCGAGGTGTCACTGTATATCCATATCAGCCTTTATAGCTCTGGGGAGCCTCCAGAAAGTGGCGTTTCATTACATTCAATGTTGGTTTTTACATTTTTTGTTTGGGAACTTTGAAGGGAAATCCATATTTCATGGCAATATCATGACCAAACTATAGCATCTAGAATTTGGTGATTATTTTTCCCCAACCTTGCTGCCATTCTCTTTAATTTTAGAATTCAAGTTATTCTTAGAATTTTCTTATAAAAGCTGGACATGGAAGGTGTATCCCAAATAAATGCTGCAGTATCAGTATGCTGTATCAGTATTAAGTATGCTGCTTAATCAATCCTTAATCAACATTTTATTGATATAAAATAGAAGAAAATTATTGGTTCTCGTTTTTATATTTATATTTTAATTTTCAGAAAGAAGAGAGGCAGGAAGGGAAAAGGCAGCGACGACGAGGATGATGATCAACCTCGTGGCCGTAAACGCGGCAAAGGAGGCAGACAGAGACTCAAAAAGGATTCCTCTGATGGTCTCTCGGCAAAGCAAAAAGGCCGTATTGTTTCCAAAGCAACTATTTCGGATTCATCAGATGACTCTGATAATGAGCGGCTCAAAATTGCCAGTGGATCTGATAGTGACAGAGGCAAAAGTAAACGTCGTCGAGTCATGTCTGAATCCGGTTCTGATCGTTCACGGTCAAAATCAAGATCACGTTCTCGTTCCGCATCAGGTTCAAGGTCACGTTCTAGGTCAGGTTCAAGGTCACGTTCTGGCTCAGGTTCAAGGTCTCGAAGTCGCAGTCGCTCTAAGAAGAGGCGTTCAGTATCCCGATCCAGGTCACGCAGTGGCTCCCGCTCTGCTAGCCGTTCACCTGCCAGGTCACGGTCTAGATCAAGGTCAGGGTCAAGATCCAAGTCTAGGTCAAGATCCAAGTCTAGGTCAAGATCCAAGTCAGGGTCAAGATCCAAGTCTAGGTCAAGATCCAAGTCAGGGTCAAGATCCAAGTCTAGATCAAGATCTAAGTCTAGGTCAAGATCCAAGTCAGGGTCAAGATCCAAGTCAAGATCAAGATCCAAGTCAGGGTCAAGATCCAAATCAAGATCAAGATCGAAGTCAGGGTCAAGATCAAGGTCCAGATCAAGGTCCAAGTCAGGGTCAAGATCAAAATCACGTTCTCGGTCAGGATCTCCTGCGAGATCAAGATCACGCTCGGGCTCGCCTCAATCTCACTCGGGATCCCCTCGATCTGGATCTCATCGATCAGTCTCGCCGCGATCTGGATCTGGATCGCCACAATCCAGATCGGGCTCACGATCCCCAGCTAAATCTCACTCGGGATCTGAGGTTGGTGGAGATGGGAGTGATAGTGAATGAGTATATTTTAATGTTCTTTGCCAATAGTTGTATTCATTTTAGAATGATTTCATTTTGATTTCTTAAATGTTGTGGTATACACATTTTGTTTGTGAACAATACAGGATATGATATTTTGTATTATCAGTGTGCATATTATTTCTTTAATATATTGCCAATAAAGTGGCAACTGTATCTAATTTAAAATATATTATCCATAAAATCTAATATCATATTTGTGAAAAGTTTGTGTTCTTCTATATTCACCTAATGTTGAGTATGTGATGTAAAGTTTATCATGTACAGTATTGAGAAGGTAGGCAGTCATACAGTGGAAATTCATTACAGTAATTCACAAGTTAGAGCAGCATTTTTGCCTGTGTTGTATTTGAATGTACTTGGCAATGTACTAGTTTGATAAGCTGGAAAATTTATGTGGATGGTCACAAAATGAACTGCTAGAATTTAGTTGTTTTAATATGCCACTTAAAAACATTTCTTTTTTTAATGCATTTCTATTTAAAGAGTATTCTTCATTTGAACAAATCCACAAGGAGCCGTGATGAAGGTTAGAACCAACGTCCGAGAGAATCCCAGACACGCCTTAGCCGACTGTGCCACAACACGGCTCATCACGGCCCTTGTGGCTTTGTTCATTTGATGCATCACGCTATTGTGATTTCTGTGTGTAAAGTATTATTCATTCACTGATTTATGACCCAGTTAGTTAAGAGATCAAACATTGTTCCATTTAAAGTTAATCATGAGAATATCATATTGGTCACCATCTCTTGTTATTTGGACAATCATTTTCTCACAATGGCAAATAATAGTTGGACAAAATTGTGAATTATGGTCATGCCCTTTACAAGCATATTTACTTAAATTATTTTCCTTCCATGGATTCGGTCATCTCTTTTCAAAGCTTGTTTAATGTCTTTAGGATGGCCTATTCTAATATTTTTAATGCTGTATTCATTTTCCATAAATATACATAATTTTTTTTGTACCATTGTATTATTACATTCCTTATTACATTACCAAATCTTATGAGTTATAATGAGCGTTATTTATATCAATGAGCATGAGTGAAAGTAATCTGCAAAATTATGGCAATATTTTTTGCCTGAAATTCATGAGCACAATTAAGCGTTGAGATATTATCAATTGATTACCATACAGTAATTAACTTTGAGTGTTGCAGTACAGACTTATGCATAAAGCCCTCTTTTGATTAATGCCCCTTTGTGTATTCATCAACAATGACTTTGTGTTTACTAGTGCAAGACATTTGGGCACATTTCCTGACACCTGATGACATTGTTCACCTAGCAGTAAATAGTTTCCTGGGAGTTTGACGACTGTTGTGGATAGGCTCCTGGGGAAAGTCTGTCCTTAGCCTAGGGAGTCCTTAGCTTAGGGAGCCGGTCGACCGAGCGGACAGCACGCTGGACTTGTGATCCTGTGGTCCTGGGTTCGATCCCAGGCGCTGGCGAGAAACAATGGGCAGAGTTTCTTTCACCCTATGCCCCCTGTTACCTAGCAGTAAAATAGGTACCTGGGGGTTAGTCAGCTGTCACGGGCTGCTTCCTGGGGGTGGAGGCCTGGTCGAGGACAGGGCCGCGGGGACACTAAAGCCCCGAAATCATCTCAAGATAACCTAAAGGGAATTTGATAAGACTAACAGGCTTTCTGTCCCCAGCAATGGTTAACCATAACAGCAATCTCTTCCCTTGTATCAACCCCCTGGGATGCAAGCCAACAAGCCAAGAAACAAACATTCCTTATTATTGTACCACATTTTCCAATTTTATTTATTTTATTTATATATACAAGAGTTCTAACATTCTTGTACAGCCAATAGTACAAGTAGCGTTTCGTTCAAGACCTTAATCCTATGTTCCCTGGAATACGGCCCTGTGAAAAATCGTTTAACAACCAGGTATCCAACAACCAGGTACCCAACAACCAGGTACCCAACAACCAGGTACCCAACAACCAGGTACCCAACAACCAGGTACCCAACAAAGTTAAACAGAGTTTAACTCTGCAAGTGAGTTACTGTCGAGGCTCTGTTACTGTTAACAGAGCCTCTGTTTAACTCGACAGTAAAAATTAAGGATTTACGCCCAGTAAATGCTCCCTGGCCAGGATACGAACCCAGGACAAAGTGCTCGCGAAATGCCAGGCGAGTGTCTTACCACTTCACCACTGGGACTGTAATTTCTGTGGTTGGAGAGGCATCAGGCCAGAGCAGAGAGATTACTAATACAGAGAAAGGTTTTAAATGAACATAATTCATACATCATTTGCATAATATAATATTACAGATAAACATGTGCATCACACTTAAGCAGTCGTCTACAGTAGCAGGCCACTGCATCAGGTGTACAATGCTTGTGAATTGTCATATACAGTACAGACTTGTTCCTTACAACATTTTGTGTGTACTTCACATGCACACACCTCCCTCTCTCTCATGCTGTGTCCACCAAAAACGGTGTATTTTTAGATCAGAATACAAATTATTAAATACTTTACAACAAAATTTTCTGTAAATAATGTTGACATTGATGAAATGTTTCACTTTTAGAAATAAAACTTAGTATGGCAATGCACACTATTTTCAGAAGTATAGGAAAACCAGGAACAAAGTCAGTATAATGGTTGCGTGGAATAAATGTTAGAGAGATGCACAGAAAAAGTGCATATTAGCTAACACATTGTATCCTCATTTTAATCAAGAAAATGTAAGAATAATCAGAGCAGTTAAAAGACAACTGAAGGACATAGATGCTAATAATTCTTTAAATTACTGCAATGGTTTCATTATAGAAAGAAAGTGCAGAAAATTAACAGTAAAGTCATATGAAACGTGAACCTCTCCCCTTGTATTGCAAATACAAAATGCACTTACAGCAGACAATTAAGATATCAATTCTTTTCTGTGGGGAGCAGGGAGTTCTACTCTTGGGGAGTAGAAGAACTCCCAGAACCCCATCAACCAGGTATCAACCACAGCCCCTATGGCTCCCCGGAGCTATCCGGGATGTGTATGTATTAGAGTCCGAGACTGTGGCATCAGCCAATTGGATTTTTTTTCTTGTAATATATACAAGAGTTGTTACATTCTTGTACAGCCACTAGTATGCATAGCGTTTCGGGCAGGTCCCTGGAATACGATCCCCGCCGCGAAGAATCGTTTTTACAACCCATAAAAGTACTCATTTTACTGCTGAGTTAAACAGAGGCTACAGTTAAGGATTTGCGCCCAGTAAATCCTCCCCGGCCAGGATACGAACTCATGACAAAGCGTTCGCGGAATGCCAGGCGAGTGTCTTAACACTACCCCATGGAGACCTAAAGTTCTTACCTACCAGAGACCACGACCCAGAACCTGGCCCCCCCTCACAGAGGTATGATGAGCAATGGCCTATTGAAACCCCCCATGTATTCTGGAAGCATTCCATGTCTGCCATCAACCAGGGTTTGGCACCCCAGGGATGTTAAGGAGGCTCTCGTGGCTTACCTCCTGCGAGACCTGGATTCCGCCTCTGTGATGGAGCATGATGGATCATGGATCCATATTCTTTTGAGTTCGGACCCATGGCGAACTTCTACTTTTCCCTATTGGGAAAAGTACGAGGTAACGGCGTCTTCCTAGCTGACAGGCCCCCTCCCCGCTCAGCTCGTTGTCGCCGTGTGGGGCTTAGTGGGCGGCTGCCGGAGTGTGATGCTCCTTGGGACAGTCCTCTGTCCTTTTCTAGCCTTGTGCTCCTGCTGCCGTCCTTTCCAATTCTGCTGGGCACCTTTTCCTTTTCCTTCTGTTTCGTTTTTCTCCCCCCTCTTCTCCTATCTGCTTGCCGTTTCCTGCCGACCTTTTGCTTGTTCTGGTTCTTCCCTTGGACTTCTCTATTTTGACGCCCGGGTGCTTGAGGAGGCATACTCTTGCACCCGTAGAACTGTAGTACCCGACATCGAGAGCGAGGGGAACCTTTTATTGTCAATCCCCCTTTCGTCACTGAACCCGATCTCGACGGACTGTCGGTTTCTTAAGGTGGCGTTTGTGGGGCGTATACTCACGACGCACCCCTAGGAGGCCCCGGCAAGATCGGCGATAGCTTCTTGTTGGGTGTCCTGCCTCTAATTGTGGCTCCATGGTGGGTGTGGGGGCACATTCGTGAATGAATTCTTCTTTTCGTAATGATGATGACCCCTGTTTCGGCTGTTTCTGGTTTACCTTCTCAGGCTCGTGGGGTGGGCGACCAAGCCCCCGAGTCAGTCCGTGTTGGAAGACCGGGCTCTGTAGCCTCCGCTGCATTGGGCCCCGACCTTGCTCCTCCTTTGGCCTCTCTGACTCCTTCCCCTGGCTCCCCTCCCTCCTCTGTGGTTGGGTCGAGCCCCAAGCCCCCAGTGGTGACTACCTCGTCCCCTGGCGCGGCTCCTTCTCTAGTTGTAACTACTGCGCCTTTTAACCCCTCTCTCTCTGGGGGTTTTCACCGCCGTCCTCGTCACGGCCGCCCTCGCTCGATTCCTTACAGTTCTGCTACCTATCAAGCTTTGTTTGGTCCCGCTTCGTGGGCCAAATATTTTGATCTCCTCCCTCTTGATTCTGTGCCTCCTGACGATTTCTCCCTCCATCGACATCTCGTTGATTCCGTGGATGCCTCCATTACTTTCAACCCCACTCGTCTCGGTACACGTGTCGTTGCTGCTCCTTCTCAGGATGCTGCTTCCCGCTTGGCTGCCTTATCCTGCCTTGGCGAGACCCCTGTTCGGGTCTCGAAGAACGCTCAGTTGAATGCCAGTGTTGGCACTATTTTGCTCCCGCCCCATGTTGCGACCGGTGTTCGGGACCTGCGCGACTGCCACGACGATATTCGACATATCCTCGCTGCCCAGGGCCATTCTATTCTCCAGGTGGACACGTTTACTCGTCCCCCTCGTGGTAGTCGCCGTCAACCCCTCCGGGTTGTGAAGATTACCTTTGATGGTAGGACCCTTCCACCCTCTGTCATTCTTGCTGGTGCCAGGTGCTCTGTCCAGGAGTACATTCCTTCTCCTCGGCTCTGCAACAAGTGCTGGAGGTTTGGGCATGGTGCCCTCCGCTGCTCCGGGACTGTCTCTCTCTGTCCTTTGTGTGGGGGTGAAGGTCACTCTAAGTCGGAGTGCACTTCTCCCCAGGCTCGTTGTCTCAACTGTGGTGAGGCCCATCCTACCTTCTCCCGTGCGTGTGTCCATTACAAGCTTGAGGCAGCCGTCCTCAACTTGAAGCACCGGGAGCGTTTATCTTTTCCTGAGGCGAGACGCCAGGTTCGCCGGCTCCCGCCTTATGCTAATATCTCTTATGCTCGCGTGTTGCGCTCTTCCTCTCCTCGTCCTTCCCGCCTTCCTCAGACTCACAACCGTTTCCGGGCCTTGGACCCTGATGCGCCCACTGCCCCCTCCTCTGTTCCTTTGGGTTCTCTCCCGAAGGATCCTCCTCCTGGTCCTCTGTCTGGGGTTCCCCTTCCTTCTACCCGGTCTGTCGTGTCTTCTGTGTCTTCTTCCTCGTCTCCCTCCGTTTCTCCTTCTCATCCTTCCCCTCCGTCTCTTGACTCTCCCCGCCGCCTGTCGGTGCGGGCTGATGTCCATCGCTCTCCAAACGACCGTCATGTGTGCTCACGTTCAGCTTCTCCTGTTGAGACGCTAGAATCCGTTGCCCAGTACGTGGTTGCTGGGACACCTGTCTCTTTAAGTCAGAAGCGTAAGCCTGGCTCCTCTCCTTCCTCTTCCCCGGCGGGTAAGAAGGTTTCGCTTTCTTCCTCGGCCCCTACTTCTGTCTCTCTCGCTCCTTCCCCTCCCATTTCGGTGGTTGTGCCCCCTGTTCCTGCTATGGAGGTTTCTTTAGCCCCCGCTTCCCTCTCAGTTGCTGCCCTTGCTGAGGTGCGCTCCCCTCTTTCTACCCCTCCTCTTCCTGCTGCTATCCTTGCCTGCTCCTCTCCGTTGTCTCCTCTACATCCTCCTC